ATTTGTATTTTGGTCTTACACTCCAGGAGAACTAACTACAATTGTCCACCATTGTTGGTGAGAGTACGGTTATTAAATTTTGAAGCAATAAGCAGTTGATATGGATCCACTGAGTATTGTTGATGGCGATTGAGTTTTTCAAAACTTTGAATTTGAGTTCTTAATCGTATTTTGTGTTGCTGTGAAGCTGATTACATGTCAACTATTCCTTTACTGTTCCTCCGTTAAACAAAGCTTATCACTGCATTCTCTGGGAATGTAAACATATACTAGGAGAATATGAAGAGCATTCAATTAATGATACTAAACGAGAAAATAAAATGTTCACTTCATGAAAGAAGATTAATCAGCCCATGGAGATGGCTACCTAAACAGTGTGCAGAAAAAAAAACTGTTTTTTAACAAACTGTGTATAGGAGCACAAGTAAGGCACTTCTAACACAGACATTTAACTCATTATTGAGGTGTTCTGTAACAAACTGTGTATAGGAGCAGCAGTTTCGAAACATCAGTAATTGATGAGATATATCAGAATCAACAACCACATGTTTTCAGGTTATGGTTTATCTCAATACAACGATCTTGAATGGTTTTGTTGGTTTTAGGGATTGTAACTTTCCTTTGATTTTCCTTTCAAGGCATAGGATTGGTTTTCCTGTGTTTTGTTATTTTGAGAATTTGGAAAAAACGTTTCCTCGGTTTCTTTGTATGAGGCATGCAAATCCATTCCTGCAGGGTAGTAGCATACATTCCACCACTGTAAAGAACTAATAATTTCTCTTGTCTGTTGCGATCAGGTTTTTTAGTTATATTTAAGAGTCTGTTACTTCAAACTTTATTGTTACTTTAAATTTTTGAGCTTTAGCTGTAGAGCTTGTATCTTTGACATTTCTGGGTAGAGGCAATAAAGCTTAAGATAGTGTCTTTCAAACTTCTGATAGTGTTGTTACACCTTCATTATGTATCACTTTTGGTAACCCTGTAACGTTTGTTGAATATGTTGCCAATGCATAGTTATTTAAAATGTTATGTCGTGCAATTTAAGAGAGTTTTGTTTTAAACCCCCTTTCAGATGATTTGAAACATCAAATCAAAACAACCTTTTATTAGCTCTCAAAGAATTAAGGATTAG